GCGCCTAGGGGGTGGGCACGCCTCCCTATCTCGTGGCCTCCTTGAAGCTTCCTTGGCTTGCACTCCAAGTTCCCTGGATTGCTTCTGTTCCAAAAATAAGTTTCCCGAAGGTTTCATTCCGTTTGGACTCCGTTTAATATTGCTTTTCTTCAAAACACTGAAATAGGCAAGAAAACAGCAATATGGGCTGGGCCTCCGTTTAATAGGTTAGTCCCAAAAAATAATATAAAAGTGTATAATATAGCCCATAAACATTCAAAACAGATAATAAAATAGCATGAATGCTTCATAAATTATAGATACGTTGGAGACGTATCAATGGTGAGAAGTATCGATATACTAGGAACTCTTAAGAGGTGGAGCAATCCTCACAACATCCTTGTCGTAAAAGATAGTAATACTTCAAGGTAGAACATAATATAAGCTGGGAGGCAAGTTGCATCCATAACATGAACAAGTTTGTGATGAAAGGAAGGTAAGGATGTTGTCGATGGTAACTCAAATTACCAAGGGACGAGGATGGCACTTATCATCATGAATTCAATTGATATCTTGAAAGGAGTCAAATGTTAATGATGATCATGAGAAATTATGTCGAGAGGCTCCACGAAGAAGCAATCGAACAACGACTGTATCGAGCAAAGGACTGATGCAATGAAATATTATTGGAACCACAAATACAACACAAACTTGGAATCAAGTTTGCTGTTCGAGATAAACGATAAGACGAGGAAATCGATGTAAGCTTAGCTCATCGTCTTCCGGGAGTAAGGAACAAGTAGTACAGTTAAAATCGGCACGATAATGCTATAGCCGAGCAGGCCAGGAATGACATGGTCGAGTACAAACTCATAAGTAAAGAAGATTACTAAGAGTTGTTTAATCATGGTGTGGACCCGATTTAGTTATCGGTTTCCTCGAGTAACTATCAACTCGGAACCCAGGAAAATTGGAATCGGTCAGGAATAATACTTGATGAAGGCTCATAATTAGCAACGTGGTTCGGTGATATTATCGAGATACCAGAGGGTAATACTCTGAGGTAGAGCGAGATAGAGGGTTGACAAGTGTATTGATCTGCAGAAGACAAGTACTTTAACTTGACTGAGAAAAGGAATCAAGGAATATCAATATGGCTGAAACCATAGCTGCAAGGGATCCAATTTAATGACACCGAAAGTATTATCCAACCGATTATATGTTCTGTAAGAAGCTTCCATGATAAGTTCCACATCGGGTCCATGGGCATGAACACTAAGTTTAAGGGCGACTCCCACTTCTTCAATGCATAACCCTCCATTCACTTCTCGTTTCCAAAAATGACATTAGTTGTTGAAAGTTTTTTCTGGCGAAGCACCAGAAGAGTATGACTCATGAAAACTTTCGGATTCACACATATTAGAGAAGGCTTCAACCCATAGGTGCATCTTGGGAACATATACCACAAACTCCAAGGGTAATCGACACAAGCTCAAAGGTAGAGCATGGTTGACAAAAGCAGAGGATACAAATTGTCAAAGACATTATGTATCATGGGAATAACTCACAAGAATTTTGAACGTGAAGGATACTATCGGATAATAACCCAACATCACTACAAGGATTCCGGTCTATTGCAACAAAATTTATTGCTACAACTATGTTTTGTTGCAATAAAAAACAATATTACCAAAAATTCCCCGGTTGTGGTAATAGGCCGCACATATTGCCATAACTTAGTTTGGTCGCGATAAATACTAAGTTTGTTGCAATAGAGGCCTCATATTGCAACAAACTGTATTGGCATTGCAATATGGTAGCGGTATTGCAACAAACAAATTCTGTTGCGTGAGGGCAGTCATTTTGTTGTAATAGAGAGTAGGTATTTCAACATAACAACTATTCATGGCAATATTAAGAAAGATATTGCAACATCGGCGTGACGTTGCATTAGTTACAAATATTACTGCAAAAAGGGGCTAAGTATCGCAACAAACTGCATCGGCGTTGCAATATGGTAGCGATATTGCGACAAACGAATTCCGTTGCGCCAGGCAGCCATTTTGTTCAAAAGAGACTAGGTATTTCAACAGAATAACTATTTTTGGTAATATTCCAAAAAATATATTATAAAATCGGTGTGACATTGCATTAGTTACAACTAAAATAGTGGAAAAAATATATTATTCAAATTTATAGATATTAAGTTATGATTTTTGCAAGCTTTAAGGAGTAATTAAAATATATTTTAATTGCACCCGTTTTGATTAACCAAAATAATAGAAAAAGTTTATAAATGGATTGAATACACTTTCTTGATAGGAATACATATTTAATTTGTTAAATTTGGATTTGAAATGGCCAAGTTGTTGGCATTTTAAAACAAGGTTGTTTTCTGCAAAAACTAGGGTGGCATCCACGGTGACCTCCAGGGGCAATGACAAGTGTGGCATGCCACCGCGCAGTAACCCAAAAAACTATGGAGGCTCTCGCCTGGGCAGGGATTCGAACGCTCGTCCTCAGACTCGAAAACCCTTCACATCCACAACGAAGAGTATCGGTACTCAATCAGAGTAAGAATTTTGTGGTAATATATTGCGTTTTATTGCAACAGAAGATAGCTATAGCAATAAATTTTGTTGCAATAGACCGGAATCCTTGTAGTGGTATTCTCACATCTAGGGCATGGACAACACATAAAACCATTTTGCTTGTTTGCCTCAGCCACTTCGAGAAAATTATGCACGCCCTTAATGTACTCGGAGGTGCGTCTATTACCGTACATCCATTACCGGTTCATCTGCGTGCATTATATATAATTAAGTGTGTCAAAAACCATTACAGAATATCATGAATAGAGAAGTGACCAAATTAATAGAAGTTCATCATCACATTAAAACCAAAGTACTGTACTGATCAAATGTTATTACTGAAAAAATAAATACATAAAGTTCATACACTAGTTCTCATTGAACAACATATCTCTCTCTAAAGCATCTAATTAAACCATACATTGAAACGTAGCAAAATATTTCAATGCAACAAGAAATGTGATCATAATTGCAACTAAGGTAACAATTGATTCAATGGCATAATGATACCAAGCCTCGGTATGATGGCATATTTTCTAATCTTTCTAATCTTCAAGCGCATTGCATCCATCTTGATCTTGTGATCATCGACGACATCAGCAACATGCAACTCCAATGCCATATTCTCCTCCTCAATTCTTTTCAATCTTTTCTTCAAGTAATTGTTTTCTTTTTCAACTAAATTTAACCTCTCGACAACAGGGTCGGTTGGAATTTCCGGTTCACATACCTCCTAGATAAAAACATCTATGTCACGTTGGTCAGCATAATTGTCATAAACACTAAACGAACCAAATAGTTATAAAAGATAATATATACCACATCCGAATCATAGACAGGACGAGGGCCGATGGAGGCGGATACCAAAACCATCGCACTATATAACAAATAATAATAAAAGTAAGAAAATTATACAAGTACCTATCTAAATCATACAAGTAAGAATTTTTTTCTATTAGAAAGAAGATAAGAACAAGAGGCTCACCACGGTGGTGCTGGCGATGAGATCGGCGCGGGCGATCGACGACGGTGAGGACGGGGACGGGACAGGACATACCGCCAAACCTAGACAAATTTTGAGAAAAATGGAGGTTGGACAAGGAGCTTCGAGAGGAGCCAGCTTAAGTGTGGCTCGGGCATTTCATCGAACACCTCATGTGCATAGAAGGTGAGCTAGAGCACCACAAAAGCTCTCCCACAGTTGGCCAAAAAAATAGATCAGTGGCTCTGCTCGCGGGCAGGGGCGGGGGTATATATAGGCCTATCTTTAGTCCCGGTTTGTGGCTAAAACCGGGACTAAAGGACAACCTTTGGTTTCGGTTCCAGCCACCAACCGGGACTAAAGGTTGTGGGCCAGGAGCAAGGACCATTAATTGGCCCCTGTTCGTGTCAAGAACCGGGACTAAAGGGGTCATACGAACCGGGACCAATGGCCCCCGAGGCCCGGCCGGCGCCCTGGCCTCACGAACCGGGACCAAAGGCCGATGCCCCCTTTGGTCCCGGTTCGTGAGTGAACCGGGATTAATGCCCTTACCCAGGCCTCAACCAAAGCCATGTTTTCTACTAGTGAAGGGCGGCATGGGATGGGCGCGGGCTTGACACCTATGGTCACCTTAACGTTGTCAGTTTGCAACCATTACATCACCTTAACCTATGGTTGACGGGCCCCTTTCGCATTGCGCTACAAAAACAGGGTGGGGGCTTCACGAGGTTCGTCGCGTTGCCAGGACCCCACCAACACTCCCTACCGATCTAGGGCTCGCAGCAGTGACGGAAAGCACCGCCACCACCGCTACTCACTCACCGCCGCCACCACAGCTCCACCATGGCCACCAGCTCGAGCTCATCGAGCCAAGGAGAGGGTATACTGCCGATCTAATCTAGCCTACACCGATCCACAAGATCCATCAAAGGTATTAGAACCAAACTTGGCTGAGATTTTTGGTGGAAGAGAAACACAGAGAAGCAGTACACAACAGGACTTATGCGCACGGATCTCAAACCCATCGCACGTCTATGCGTTACGCGTTAGAAACAGGTTCTGCTAGAATTTCATTTCACGCCCAACTTTGACTATTGTTGTCTTGATATTAGAACAGAAAGATGAGAAAGCGGACTACATTTTGATGATTATATTAGCCTTCCATAGGCTATTAAACTCACGGCTAAAAAGCTTGTCATGAATAGTGTCTTTGTTTATATGGATCCTCTTCACATTAAGAACAAATCAGTTCCAAAGTACGGCCTGTTGGTCAGTGTGAAAGTGATGCTTACAAACAGTTTTAGTTTTTGTATAAGTCAAACGATGAAAGTTTGAAGAAATGTGTAGAAAAATATATCAGCATCTACCACATAAAATCAATTATATCATTAGAACAATCATACTTGGTCAAACTTCTCATTGTTTGACATAACAACTAATAGTATGCACTACATTCTAGCATGATTTTGCTTGAGATTTGTGGTCGCATGCAGCACCATAGTCTCAATTGTGAACCCCGGTCCAAATCCCAGCATCACACCCCAAACACCTTCCTCTCCGTCCTCCTCCATTCGGCGCCGCTGCTCATCAAGCACAAAAATCACTGTGGCACTGAGCATATTCCCGTACTCCCTCAGCACGGTCCGACTTGCTGCCAACTTCCCTGGGTCCAACATGAGAGCCAGGTCGATGCTGTCCAAGAGTGCGGTGACGCCAGGATGCACTGCCCAGAAGAGGTCGTTCCATTGGGCGTCAATTCCAAGCTGCTTGAGCTCATCCGATATGCACCTCTCGATGTTGTGTGTAGCTATAGGGGCAAGCTCCTGCATAAACAATTGGTGGTAGATGCCGCCTTCCCCGGTTTTTATAACGGCAACACGATCTGTGTCCGGAATCACGGTCTGTGATGCGGATACCATCTCAAAGAGCGGGCGCTCCAGTGGATGCACCGCGTCAGCGCCGACGATTACCGCGCCGGCGCCGTCACTGAAAATTGCCTGGCTAATGAGGGTGTGGGGGTAGTTCTCCTCTGGCCCCCGCAAGGCAGCAACGCTGAGCTCGACGCATGCCACCAGGACACGGGCGCCACAGTTATTCTCGGCAATGTCCTTGGCGAGGCGCAGCGACGCGGAGCCGCCGGAGCATCCGGTGAGCTGGAGCAGTGTGCGGACCACAGAGGATCCGAGGCCCAGCAGGGATGCGAGGCGGAGGTCGACGCCCGGGGAAAGGGCGCATGAGTTGGTGCTGAGGATGAGGTGGGTTATGTCGGTCGCTGGACGGCCCCACTTGGCTATGGCCTTGGTGGCCGCGGACGCGGCGAGCTCCGGGGCAACGGCAGCGGCGATCTCCAGCCTGTCCTGTCCACCGTCGAAGAAGCGGGGGTGGGCGTCCAGCAGCTCCTGCGTGTGGTGAAAGAAACGTTTCGCCGTGGCAGTCCTGTCACCTGCACGTACGATTGACAGAATTTTTTTTCCCGCAAAAAAAAATATTGACAGAGAAGATAAACAAACGCGCCAAGGCCGATCGACCTGTCATCGCAGATTTGGCTTACATATTAACTTGAATTTGCGTTTGAGGTCCGTGAGGTGTTGGCTTTTGGTGACGCGGAAGTAGTACTCCACGTACTCCTCCTGGGACAATCGGTTGGGCGGGTTTGCTGTCCCGATGGCCAGCACTGCCGCAGGACCGTCCGCACGCTTCAAATGCCGGATCTCGCGCACGGTATTTCTTGCCAAGCTGTCACAGGCCTGCTTAGCTAATGTGTGTGTGTGTGTGTGTGTGAGAGAGAGAGAACAAAATAAGAGTTATTTTTTGTTGATGAAACTAAATAAGAGTTAACGCTGCACGAAGAAAGAAAGAAAGAAAGAAAGAAAAATACGTACCTAGCCACCGGCAAGACAGAAGGGGGACAGTGAGAAGGCTGCTCTTGTTTGCATAGCATGTCCAGATCATGATTCACCTAGAGCCCAAGGGATCGTGTAATGAACGTAATTATTCCTATACCAAACATAAATTCTAAATCTCACATATAGTAATGAATAAAATAAAAGTTAAATAGCTGAGAGGAAGAAAAAGGGAGCTGAGGAGCAGCTCCAACATGTACTAATGAATAAAATAAGAGTTAACTCTGCACATAGAAAGTAAGAAAGAACAGGCAAGAAGGAACCGGAAATACCTAGACAATATGAAGTGAGTGCCACCGGCAAAACAGACGGGGAAGGCTGCTCTTGTTTGCCTCGCGAGATGCAAAGGCTTGGTACTTTATAGGGACGGGAGAGCAGAGCCGAAGCATCTCCGTAGTAGAAAGGCTACCAGCGCAGGCATCCACCAGCCACAAGTAATACTTGGTAACCGTTTTTTTTTCTTTTGCGGGGGAATACTTGGTAACCGTTGCCATGTGAAAGTGAAACACTAGTGCTACTTGTACTAGTTTATGTAGATACATCCACCATCCAGTACAAATCTGAGTTTTAATTAGAGTCGGTTCGTAGATCTGTTTTTTCTAATAAATCTCGAGCCGAGTCTGAGCACTATACCAGTGGCCGGGATTTTCTTAAAACAAAGAAAAAAGCGGCACCACGTTTTTTTTCTAGAAAACAGACACCAAAGATTTTTAGAGTCAGTTTACATATATATTCAATCGACTGTCGTAATTATAATATTTGATACAGCTTTCAGTATTTTGTGCAGAGAGTTGAATTGCAGGTCACACATGACCATTTGGACTTAGTTCTGGGGAACTACTTTCGCAGTTCCTAAATCTTATAGCCTCATCCTTGTTGATTCTAATGTTTACCTTTATTTCAATTAGCTTTGGATTCTTGCTGTAAACAACACAGGGTGTTCTTCTGGCATCTGATTCGTAACAGGCTCAACACCAGAGCAATGTTGCAACGAAAAAACATTCACTTGCTGGATTATAACTTTGTCATGTTTGACTGTTGAGATGCCAGGAGCACAGAGCATCCCCATCATTTATTTTCTCATAAGATGCTACCAGTACATGCATCCACCAGATACAAGTACACGCCAACTATTTTATAACTACTCCCTTGTGAAACACTAGTGCTACTTGTTGGGATTATGCCCTAATGGAAATTTTACGATGACGACATTTACACATGGCTATGTAATTAATACTACTGAGATCAACTGTAACCATGGAAATTTGGGAGAATCTGATGCCAGTACAGGGATTCAGTTTTTTTACGATATATATTACTCCCTCCGTTCCGTCACAGAAATAGATGTATTTAGAACTAAAATATATCTAGATACATCCATACCTGCAACAAGTAATTTAGAACGGAGAGAGTACTATATATAAGACGTAGATCCCAACATTGGTTGTTGAGAATCCGTAAATCAAACAGTTGTCGAGATGCCAAGGATCCTCCTACATTACAAGTGATATGTACAGCTAGAAGTTCCTTGGACACAAACAACAATTTTGTAAAATAACGCAACCAGGAGCATAGAGTATCTACATCATATGGATCCACCGGCCACAAATAGTAGACGCCAAATATTTCGTAACTACTCACATGTGAAACACTAGTTCTACTTCTTGGGAATTTGCCCTCAAAGCAATTTTAGGATGATGATATTTACACATGGCTATGCAATGGATAGTGCTGAGATGCCTAAGTGTCCACATCAGTACTAGGCTACTAGCCATGTAAATTCGGGAGGATCCAATACCAGTCCGGGGGATCCAGTGTTTTGATGATACTCCCTCCGTCACGATTTAGAAGGCGCGCTTGGAAATTCTCTGGGACCTAGGTTGTTAGACTGTATATATGTAGTCCTGTATAGGCCTTGTATTGTACCCCTTGGTACGTCTATATAATGAGATAGCCACACCCCGTTTTAGGGTGTCGAGCCAGTTTCCCAAACCCTATGTTTTACATGGTATCAGTTTAGGTTACGATGTCTTCCGCTACACCACCTCCCCCCGCCGCCGCCGTCGCCGTCGCCGCCGCCGCGCCGATCTTGACCGCCGCCGCTGCCGCGCCGGCCCTAGCCCCAATGTCGCCCTTCCTGGCCTCCCGGCCACTCGCGGCGACGTACGGCGCCACCCTGCCGCCGCCCGCTTCTCCGCAGGCGCCGGGCTTCGGGGACGATCTGGCCGCCCCGCCCGACG